GAGAGAGAGAGAGAGAGAGAGAGAGAGAGAGAGAGAGAGAGAGAGAGAGTTTACCTCTCTGATGAGGCAAGAGTGGTGTGACAGACCCTTGGCAAGTGGCCATGAAAAGGCCACTTCTGACACAGCTTCCTTCCCATAACTAGGGTTCGGCCATCACCCCCGTCCCATGCCGTCTCCCAAACCTGACATGCACTAGAGATAGGAACTTTTCCTCTCTCCCTCCCTCCCCTCCTTCTTTCCATTCCGCCTGTGCTGGGGGTCTAATGCAAGGCCTCACGCATGCAAAGCACATGGAACTTCCTCAGTGGAGTTCTTCGTGAGGAAGCAGCTAGATCAGAAGGGGGACTGCGGCCCTGCTGCTGTGTTCTGCCCCGGGATGGGGACTTCAAACACATCACACTTAACCAGCTCCACTTCTCTGGCAGGTGGTTGGTAGCGACTGTTTTGAGACCAGACAGGGAGAGTGAGGACAGAGATGATGTCCCAACCCAAGCCCATTTAATGAGCCCAGGAAAATCAGAAGAAAAAAATTAAACAAGCATTTTGCTTTCGTTTTCTTCTGGAAAGAGGTCATTGATCAGCCATTATCCCTGAACCCCCACGGATCCAGAAACCAGTTCTGACGCTCGCTCCCGTCACACAGGAGGGACGCCGGAACCCTGAGAGGATCAGTCCTGCCCATGAGTCCCCAGACGAGCTTGTGGTCAGCCTTTGCCTTTCAGGCCACAGACAGTGGTCCCACACTTCATGGTGGCTTCCCTCACCACTGCCCTCCCACCCACCCCCTCCTCTCTGAGGGCTCAGTCACTCCAGATCCCACTGCCGCCGTTTGATTAGGCATACTTGGAGTGACACCTGTGAGTCACAACATTAGTCACAGGTGTCAGTGATAAGTTAGCCTTGACTCATCTCCAAGCAGGACAGAACCTTTCCAACCCCGACTAGGCTGATCACCACAGGCATATCCTAAGTTCAAACTGAGGACTTCAGGGAATAGGGTCTGATGACAGAGGTCTTTGGAGAAGTTGGACATGTGCCCTGGATATCTCTCTCTCTCTCTCTCTCTCTCTCTCTCTCTCTCTCTCTCTCTCTCTCTCTCTCTCACATCAAGCCAGGGTTTTATTAAACCAATCCAAGTGACACATCTTCACAAAATACAAAATAATTATTCCACAACAACTCAACCTGGAGCTTGCTGCCATTTTTTTTTTTTTTTCAAAGCTAGGTTGGCTGACCACAAGTCCCAGTCACCCTTCTGTCTCCACCTCCAACAACTTAGGATACAAATAGAGGTGCACATCTGGCCACACCCAGCTTTTTTTTTTTTTTTAACATGGATTCTGGGGATCCAAGCTCCAAGGCTTGCACAGCAAGTATTTTAGGGGCTGCAATCATGACTCAGCCGTTAAGAGCACTGGCTCCTCTTCCCGAGGACCCGGGTTCAACTCCCCAGCACCGTCATGGCAGCGCACAACCATCTGTACCTCCAATTCCAAGGATCCAACACCCTTTTCTGAATTCCTGCTTATAAACCAACCAACCAACATGCCTTAAATCTCAACACTCAGGAGGCAGACACAAGAGAATCTCTGAGTTCAAGGCCAACCTAGTCTACAAAGTGAGTTCCAGGACATACAGGGCTACACAGAGAAACCTTGACTTGGGGGGAAAAAAAAGGGGGAGCAGAGGTGGTACACATCTTTAATCCCAGCACTTGGGAGGCAGAGCCAGGCAGATCTCTGTGAGGACGGGGTCAGCCTGGTCTTCAGAGCGAGATCCAGGACAGCCAGGGCAGCCAGGGCAGTTACATAGAGAAACCCTGCCTGGAAAACAAAAACAAAAAACGTGACCATGTAGTGACAGGAAAGAACTGCCAAGTGAGCTTCCTTCCTGACTCAGGAAGAGGAGAAAGAAGGCAAGTCAAGGGGGAGAATGTGATGGGAATCTTTGGTTTGGTTGCTTTGGTTTTTGAGTCAAGAGCTCACTCTGTAGCCCAGGCTAGTCTCACACTTTTGGGGATCCTCTAGCTTCTGCTCCCCAAATGCTGGGATTACAAAGTGTGCATCACACAAGTCTACAATCTGTTCTTTTTTAGATTTATCTATTATTTTATGTGTACAGTGTTTTGTCTGCATGTTCATCTGTTCAGCTCATGCATGTCTGGGGTCACAGAGGTCAGAAGAAAGGCATTGGATCCCCTGGAACAAGAGTCACAGACAGCTCTGAGCCACACCATATACATGCTAGGAATCAAACCCAGGTCCTCTGCAAGAGCATCAAATGCTCTTAGCTGCTGAGCCACGTCTCCAGCTCCTAGACCAAGAGTTGAGACCCCTCAACGCTTTTGGGGGTCAAATAACCCTCTCACAGGGGTCACTGAAGACCATCAGAAAACACAGATATTTACATTACTATTCATAACAGTAGCAAAATTACAATTATAAAGCAGCCATGAAATAACTTTATGGTTGGGGTCACCACAACATGAGGAACTATATTAAAGGGTTGCAGCATTAGGAAGGTTGAGAGTCACTGGTTTAGACTCTGTTCTTTTTGTGTTTGTTTTCGAGACAGGGTCTCTCTGTGTAGCCCTGTATGTCCTGGAACTTGCTCTGAGGACAAGGCTGGACTTGAACTCAAAGATCTGCCTGCCTCTGCCTCCCAAGTGCTGGGATTAAAGGCGTGCGCCACCACTGCCTGGCCCAGCTAGACTCTGTTCTTAAAGCAGAGAAGAACAGATGTTTTTACAGCCAACCAGGGCTGCATTGCATGCTGACTGTATAACATCTAGAAAATGGACTTGTAATTTTTAAATGGCTTTTAGCCTTTCAGGGTTATGGTGAAGGCCAGCTCTTTCTCTCCTAGAAATGGCGTCCCTTACTAAAGAGAAACGTGGGCAGTTCCTACTGTGTGGTGTGTTGTAGTGTTCAATATTTGTTGTACGAATGGTACAGTGAGGTGCTCAGGCCATCAGCAGAGAAACTGGCCAGGAGTGTGACACTGATAGGTAGAAGGGGCTGCCGGAAGACAGCACCTCAGATTGCTGTTTTTCAGGCTCTAAGAAGATGTCACCTGACCATCACGGTTTGAACACAGCGACCACGATGGAGGGATCACACTCTCCCAGGCAGAGTTACTCTTCCAACTCACAACTGGAGAGCAATGAAAGGCAGGCCATGGGCCCCAGAAGTCTCCTCCAGCACCACTTCTCGGCCACGGTGACCGCTAGCAACATTCCAGGCAGCCCTGAAGAGGCCTCTGTCCCCACCCCTGACCCATGTGGACCAGTTCCTTAAACATCCAATAAATGTCTCTACATCATCCCATCTGGAGTCGTTTTTTATGAAAAGGTGGGAGTGGGGATGGCTGAGGAGACGTTGGAGCCTAGTGGATTAAAGCAGGGCTTTTCCCAACAAAAGCACCCGGGTCTTGTTATGGACCCAGCGCTCTTGCTTGGCCTGACCAACTTAGGACCAACAGAAATTGGATGTGAGTCATCTCTTGGGAGCGGGGTAGTAGCAATACCACGCAATCCAAAAACCTGAGTTTGTGGCGACTTGGAGAGCCCTTTGGAGAAGTCCTGGTCTTCGTGCAGTTCCTCTGCCCTAGAGTAGGTATACGTAAAAGCCCCTGGGATGGAGATCCATGCTTAGAGGGGAAATCTACCTGTCCATCACTCCGCCTGCCCTGGAGTGAGCTACTTGATGAGGTACAGAATGAGAGGGAGTACAGTACAGGGTTCCTGTCAGGGTTCCTCGGCTGGATAGAAGAAGGAATGAGGGAGGGCTGGCGAGATGGCTCAGCAAGTCCAGGGACTTGCAGTCAGGCCTGATGACCTGAGTTCGGTCCCTGGAACCCACGTGATCAAAGGAGAGGACAGACTCCTCCAAATCGTCCTCTGACCTCCACACTTGCACTGTGGCCTGTGTGCAAGCGCGCACGCGCGCAAACACACACACACACACACACACACACTAATATCTAAAGTAAATGAGCGAGGAAAAGAATGGTTATGAAGCCAAACAGAGGCCCCACAGGGTGGACTGAGCCACTCAGTCCAAGTGAGCGACAGTCCTCAGATCTCCCTGTGCCTCTGTGCTGTAGACTGTCATCCAAGCTACTTGGGATGCCCAGACAGGAGGATCACAAGTTCAAAGCCAGAGGAGACCCTGTCTCAAAACGAAAAGTGGAAAATAAAAACAGGCTGGGGGTGGGGGTGGGGCGGACAGGACAGGGAAGATGATTCAGTTCCTAAAGTGCTTCCTGTGTAAGCACGAGGACCCGAGTTCACACCAGAACCCACAGGAAAAGGCAGGTGGTGGCTCCAACTTGTAACCCCAGTGTTGGGGAAGCAGAGACAGGTGATCCCCGGAGCTTGCTGGCCGGACAGCCTAGCCTCCCAAGTTCTAGGTCCAGGCCAAGAGAGAGACCCGGTCTCCAAACAAACAGACAAGAGGCTCCATGGTTAAGAGTTCTGGCTGTTCTTCCGGAGGACCCAAGTTTGATTCCTAAAGCCTACGTTAAGTGGCTTTCCTGTAACTCCAGCTTCAGGGAAGTCAACACCTTCTTCTGGCTTCCATGTGCACTGCACAAACACTCGGAAAAAAAAAAACTTTACAATTATTATTATTGTCTTAAAAAAAAAAAACAAGTCGGGGGGTGATGGCGAACACCTTTAATCCCAGCACTCGGGAGGCTGAGGCAGGAGGATCTCTGTGAGTTTGAGGCCAGCCTGGTCTACATAGTGAGTTCCAGGACAGATGGAGCTATGTACAGACCCTGTCCAAAAAAAAAAAAAAAGAAAGAAAGAAAGAAAAAACTTTAACTACAAAATAAAACAAAACAAAATGACTTGGAGAAATAGCTCAGCAGTTAAGAGTACTTCACGCTTTTTCCAAGGACTTGAGTTCCACTTCCAGTAGCCACATCCATAAGCAGCCTATTCCTGCAGTTCCAGAGGATCTGACACCCTCTTTTGGCCTCCTCAGGCTCCTGTACATACATACACATAAACACAAATAAACCTTTAAAAATATATACGTTTGTATAAAATGAATAAAATTCCAAATGAATATGCTTCAATGTAACATGGTCATTATAAACAGGTATGATGTGCTGGATGGTGGTGGCACATGCCTTTAATCCCAGCACTGGGGAGGCAGAGGCAGGCGGATCTCTGTGAGTTCAAGGCCAGCCTGGTCTACAGAGTAAGTTCCAGAACAGCCAGGGCTACACAAGAAACCTTGTCTTGAAAAACAAACAACAGGGCTGGAGAGATGGCTCAGAGGTTAAGAGCACTGACTGCTCTTCCAGAGGTCCTGAGTTCAATTCCCGGCACCTACATGGTGGCTCACAACCATGTGGTCTGGCACCCTCTTCTGTATACATAATAAATAAATCTTTTTTAAAAAACAGTGACAATAGAGTCTAATATCTGGTTACAGTCCTGGCTCTGCCACTTGCTAGGTAATCTGTGCCTCAGTTTCTCTCATAAGCAAATAGTAATAGCTAGTTCCTCAGGCATAAGGGAAGATATGTACTCCAGGAAATACTAAATGTTGGAAAATGGGAAAGTGCCCTACATTAAGCATTATTATTGTTTATTTGCCTCTAACATTTTGCTTTTATTACTAGCTAGACAGCAGAGGACGGGCAAGCTGGAAGCTCACTGCCACCCCTCTCTCCTGGGGCTTTCGCTTTGCTTGCGAGTTTGAGACAGACCAGAGAAATCCTGTAGCCGCTGAAAGCTCCTCTTGACATTTCACCGTGGCACGACCTGGTGCTGGGATTGGCAACAGTGAGACAGCCATTCTTAGACATCTGTGCACAGGTCCCTAGCCAGCCAACAAAATGCACATGATGAAGTGGGAAGTACTCAAGACTGGGTTTGTCTGCTCAGCCGCCGCCACACACACACACACACACACACACACACACACACACACACA